CACCCTACAGACGTTGTTATGTTGTATGAGTGACACAACATGATTCATGTCTATACTCAGAGGCTATACTCAAAGGCTACAACTTCTCCTCTCCACGCTCACACTGCAGACGGCTGCCATCAGGCCGAGCACCCTGGCACCAACCTCGGGTCAAAGAACGAAGAGATCAAATATACTGTAGATACATCGCTATACAAACCTATTTATTACTCTTACCGCACAGGAAGTAAAAATCATTGAAACTTCGTTCCGCGCTCTGAAGCGCTTTGTATTTCAAGCCTGCTTTCATTTTCTCAGGAAGCTAGTTTACAACCTATTGTGTAGGGCTTAAGGAAATTAGCACAAACAAAAAACTTGACCATCATCTGGCAAAGGGAGAACTGTCCGGCTGACGATGACGATGATGATGATGGTGACAGTGACAGTGACAATGATGATGATGATGATGATGGTAAAACGATGATGATCCAATGATGATGACGGTGGTGATGAGGATGATGACGATGACGATGATGATGAAGATCAGGGCCACTAGTGCTCAGACCCCATGCCCACATTGCTGAGGGGTTGGTGCGCTCACGTGTTTTTGCACCTCATGGGCATCCCAAAGTACATCACGTTGGATCTTGACTCCTTCGGTTCCCGGGACTACGCCCAACTACTTGCAGTTCATCTTGGGCGTGCATCTCTTTTTCTTTGCGTTCTTCGGTGGCACATTGGCATTGACCTCAAGGTTTTTTTGGTCTACCACCTGATTTTGCATGTGGACATTTTGACCTACAGGAGCACTCCCCATAGCAAGAACCCCAAATCCCTGGCCACAAGGGCCATCTACATGATCCTTGATGGGTTTTGCCACAGTTTGCCTATCTCCTAGCCAGCCAGAGGGACATGGGAGGCAATACGTCTGCTTTGTGTGAAAGCCGGCGTTACAGTGCGAGCCGGTGCCAGCCAAGTAGGATGTCAACTGTTTTTGGATTCAGGCCTTTGACCGCAAAGGTCAAACCAAATCCATCCTACATTCAAAGAGTCTCTCAAACCGTCCCATACCTCACACCACCAACAACACGTTTTTCTCCATCGCGCTTCCGCTCCTGTGGTCTAACCTGTATTTATTGAAATTGTTCGAGCCTAAAGTTATCAGGATTTAGCCTAGGAAATGCTCAAGTATACATTTTTCTTAGGCCTTTGTACTACTAAGTCCTAAATATTTGAAGAAACCATGTAAGCCCAGGCGGCGCTAGAATAGAAACGTCGGCCAAAACCAGAATTTTAAACATCACCAGGACGTGTGTATTTATTTCAAAACGTGAAAGACAGGAGGAAAATGATCAAACATTGCTACTATAAAGGTTTATCTCTAGAGACGCACATATGCTGAGAAGAGAGGATGTTCTGAGGTAGCAGTGGTGTCGAGCACCATTGGCATCATCAGAGTACCAGCAGCATTGCTCAAACTACATACATTTTGCAGCGATGCTAGAAATGTCGGCCAAAACCAGCATCTGTAACATCACTCGGGCGTGCGTATTTATTTCCAAAAACGTCAAAAACACAAGGAAAATCCTCAAAAATTGCTACTATAAATGTTTCTCTCTAGAGAAGAAAAATGCTGAGAAGAGAGGATGTTCTGAGGTAGCACCATGGGCATCACCAGAGAACCAGCAGCATTGTTCATAAATTACATACACTTTGCAGCGATGCTAGAAATGTCGGCCAAAGCCAGCATTTGTAAAATCACCCGGGCGTGCGTATTTATTTCAAAAAAGTCAAGAGCATAAGGAAAATGATAAAAATTGCTACTATAAAGGTTTATCTCTAGAGAAGCACATATGCTCAGAGGAGAGGACATTCTGAGGTAGCAGTTGCGTCGATCACCATTGGCATCACCAGAGTACCAACAGCATTGTTCATAAACTACATACATTTTGCAAAAAAATTGTGCCTACTCATACACCAAATGGTTTGCATCTTTCCAGCTGAGACTCTGCTGATGCTAGTGATGCTCAACCAAAATTTATCTTCTAAGCTTGTATCCATTCTCAACGCTTTAATTTCTAGATGTTTGGAAGCTACTTTTTCATCAGTGGCCATTTCTGATCCTTTTCCCTGTGTTCTTTGCGTCTTTTGACGAATCCACATGAGCCCGGGCGAAGCTAGAAATGCAGGTCGGTGCCTGGGCGCACGTCTCCGTATAGCAAAGCTAAGCTTGCTAGGACCTGGTGTGGCTTCGCTGGACTCGGCCACTTCTGCCTACGCTTTGGAGAGGTTTTTTGGGCCACCTTCGTGGCAATGATCCTCAAGCCAAAAAGGCAAACCGCCCAGTCAAGCTCATCAAACTCTCCTGCGTTTATGTTCGCCGGACCCAGGCTAGCTCTGTGAATCTTGAAAATAGTGAAAATGAAAAAAGAAAGCAAAAAAAGCAGCTACAAAAAGCAACAGCAAAAAAAATCCAAAACGCAAAAAATAAAGCAAATGAAAAGCACAAGCAACAAAAAAGCAAATCCAAAAAGCAAAAAAGTGTGTTTCGCTTTTTGTGGCTTTTTTCGCTTTTTGTTTGCTTTTGTTTCGCTCTTTGTTTTTTTCAATGCGTTGTTCCTTGTTTTTTTCGCTTTTTTCGCTTTTTGCTTTTCTACTTGCTTTTTTCATTGTTTTTTCGCTTTTGCTTTTTTCATGTTGCGGTTTTCGCTTTTTTGCGTAGCGTTTTTTCGTTTTTGTGTTTCAATTTGTTTTCTGCTTTTTGATTTGCTTTTATTGCTTTGGCTTTTTCATTTGCTTTTTCGCTTTTTGGATTCGTTATTATTTGGTAAGAATATCAGGGATAGCCTAAGTGGTTTACTTAGCCTACGTATTGAAAGGCCGCTCAGATTTCTCGCAACACGTTGAAACCGACCACGCAGCACAGGTTGCCGGCGCGCGCCCGCAGATTTCGACAAACGCTACCGTGGTTCGACAGGGGCAACCGCATCACCATGATCTAGAAGCACCTTCCCGTCTCCTTATATGGGATTGAAGCAGTTGGCGTCAACTCCACAACCCTCATTCTGTTCCAAAAAACAGACGATGAAGCAACTTCGACAACTTGGTGGTGGGTCACCACTCCTTTTTGACACGCACCTGCATGGCTTGGAGCACCCTATCAGCGCTCTGCATCATCGACTGCAATCTCAACTGACACGTTGGGAGGCGAGACAATCACAATTGCAACCCAAATGACATTCTTGCGCAATCCAAGGTGGATCGTCTACGCACAGGTCTTGAATGAATTCATGTTGGGCGGAGGACTAGAGTTTGATGATCCCGAACAGTGGGCGGAGGCCGGTCAGGTCTGTACCACATGCATGCGGCAAATATTATCACATCCTACGACAGCATTGATTTGGTCCAAGTGCGTGGGATTGCAGCGACGCAGGGTCCTTCCATCAGCATTGCGCATGACACTCTCGATGGACGACCTACTTGTAGACACTCTGGTGTACCGTGCTCAGCTGGCATAACCTCAGACACCACAGCCAATCTCCTTCATGCCCCTGCCTCGAACTCAGCAAGGCGCCGTTTCAGCAGCATAGACGGGCCTTCTGGGCATCTATGACTCAGGTGACCTGTGGCTGAGGGAAGATGGCAATCTCAGCCCCGTGGCTTCTGGCAGCACATAGCAAGTGAGCGCGCGTGATCAATGAGGTCCTACGGAACATCACCAGCGCCAGAGTACAGTCCCCCTGCTCCTACTGTCCTACTGCAAGAAAGAGTTTCGTTCCAAGACTCGCACTTTCGCTGTTAGGAAGCAACTGGCCTTGCTTTGGGTGACAGGAAACACCGTGAACAACATCCACTGCTGCCACACTGACTCAGGCCCAGTTCACGCGCACCACACGCCGCTGCCAGTTTGCCACAGCGGCTGGGCCACATCAACACATGAGCACGCACCGTCATCAGCGCACCACGGTTCCACCTCTACAAGATCAGGTTCCTGGACACTTACAATGCGCCCAGTGTCATACATCTTTCTTGACCTTGAAGGCCTTGAAACTGCCATGGACCTCACCTGTATTCATCTCGCACGTCACGAACCAAACCGTGGAGGTGGATGGCATTCCTTTCACTGTGATTGCGGTTTCCCTTTAGGTGAAGACTCTCAAGAAGGCCACTCTAGGACAGCCATCTGGGACGAATCAGTCGGCATCTTCTGGACGACGACGCGCCCCCCTGAGACTGTGACTTATCTTCCTGAGATGGTACTGAGGAACTGCTGCCTACTATGGCTGCTGGGCGGTGCTGACGGCGGCGCCACCTTGTGCAATGGTGCCTCTTGAGCTGCGACTGGCTCGCTGGCCCTCCTCACCAGGGACCAGATGATGACGAACTTGCGCCACGCCTTCAGTCCTGGCAAGCCATGGCCAGGATACTTAGCTTCCCGATCGTGTAGACATCGGTTTGCTGCTGGAGCAGTCTGACATGTGCCAACATGTGGTGTTCCGCTGCGTGCTGTGTGATATGCACCTACCAAGCCTCTTGGAACACTTGAAGTGCCACCCTGACCTTTGGGCTGTTGCTGAGCCGCTGCTGGATGATCTGATCAGGCAATTCGTGTCGAGAGCACGGCCGGATAGAATCTGTGCCTGCCTGCCGTGGAGGACAGTATAGATGACCACACATGTCCGTGCCTTTTGTAATTTTGGAATGCTCCATAAATTTATTTATCAGGGCAAAGCAGTTAGACCAAGCGAACATATCTTCTGAGCAACTGGCCCTGCAGCTCTATTGAGTGACCGTACGCGGTACGAAGTACGCAGTTAGGGGTCAACGCCACCTCTTTCGTCACAGATGGCGTAGCGAAAGGAAGATGATGACGATGATGACGATGGTGACGATGATGAAACCTAAGTCGGAAAGCGTGAGCCATGCTGTGTGAGTAATATCCCCAAAAAGTGGTCCCAAAACAAATGCCCTGGCAAATCTAGTAAAGTGCAGACGAGCCGAGGAGGAAAATGAAATGATGATTAATTACTAATGACAATGATGAAACATGCTGATGATGATAATGATGATGATGAAGGGAGGGGGGCCATGAATAGAATCAAGGTAGCTGAAGCTACCTTTCGTGATCTTGGTCTCGGACAAAGCCGGAATGCACCAGATGCTTTGAGGGTCACATTGGCCCACAGGCTGAAGGATTCATTCCCTAAATGCCGGCGCCTGTCAGACTGCCACTGTCAGTTTGATTGGAGGTTGCTTCAGTTTGATTCAGCTGCGCAATCGATGAAGCTTGGCCAGGACCACCCTGCGAGGACACTCCTGCTTTGTACCTCCTCTGCAAAGACCTCGCAAAGTACAAAATCAGCGAAGTTCCCAAGTTCATTGTGTGTGTTTGCACATGTCTGGCATTTTTGTGGTTGAAGCAATTGCAGCAGTCTTCCAATCTCAAGTGGTTGCTGAGCGGGAATCTGCAACTGGAAATTATCCGAACCAAAAACCAAAACACAGGAGCTCCACAACCCAATTTGCCTCGGCACCAGGAACTCCACATGGCTGCGAGTTGTTCACCTCGATAGAACTGCCATGCCAAAACTGGGCGTTCTCATCCGAAAAACGACTCATTGGTTTTAGATGTTTTTTGCTCAATTAGGGGACCCTCGTCGGGTGGAAGCTCAAGCCTAAGCCTCTAAGCTTAAGCCTTCATGATATGGTTTCTAGAGATTTGGGAAGTTTAGCTTAATACCCACAGAACACTCAGTTGGCACTCTCTGGTGCAAGTCTGAGACCATTTGAAAAGCTTTGGTGTACTTTAGGTGGTGCTCTAGATCACTGGGCAGTCCAGCCAATCGCACTCGGTCAAAGATTGAGAGCTCCGTGCCGAAGATCGCCAAGGAAAAGGGGCGTCCAGGCTAAGCGCAGGAAGGTCAGTTCAAGAAGCGAGTTCAGCAACTAAAGCATTCAAAAAGAAAAAAAACATCTCACTGCAATCGGATGACGACAAAAGGTGTGAAGCCTCTGGAGTTCCGTTGGACTCGGAGAATCTGAGATTTCTGAGTCGTCTGCCATTCCTTCCACCACTTCGGCATCATCTGTGCGGCTGTCAGGACCAACAATGAGCACCTCAAACTTCGCCCGAAAGAAAGACGGACAGGTTTGGAAAAGACAGGATCTGTGTTGCAGTGAAAAGACCTGAACCTTAAAAGGACCACGCAGATGATGCTCGAAACTCAACACTGAATCTCGGGTACCGGACACTTCCTGCATCGTGGATGAAGAACTCCGGAGCAGTGCACGGGGTAATTTGTCCAAAGACCACCTTGACCATTCATTCCATTTGTTGCATCCGCTTCACACGCAATCTATCCCATCAGTTCCTGCTACTTTGGATGTATTCTATTATGTAATCACACCACTATGCGTACATTTTCCTGTGCTTAACAAGTATCTGGAACAAGCTATCTACAAGCAGGCAAGTGCTAATCTCATAACATCAGTCCGTCGGTTTTGACCCCTGTGCCAAGCTGTGAACTGCATCCTTTACGCAAAAGCAAAGGCGATAGTGCCCTGTTCTGGACACCTGCCACAGCGGCACTTAAAATAGCTGTGGATCAAGTCAGCTTTTGTGTGGCTGTCAAAGACTCATGGCCCCCAGTGAACATCCCAATACAGTCTACAAGAGAATGTTTACTCACCTTTGGTCTCAGTTTCACACAGCCGCTCAGCTACTGCAAACACAGCTACTTTATCAGCGGGAGATGGGTAGTTTAATGCACCAAATATCTCGATTTTGAGTGGGTTTGCCCTGGTCCCAATCTTGTTCCCAGTCTGCGAGGATTCTGAAAGAGTGCGAACAGCTATGGTCACCTAGGCACTCCCCGACTCCAATTACCACACCAGCCGCAGCAATCTTCCTAGCAGCCAAACAAGTCAGGAGGACGAAGGGTGGACCAAAGTTGTAAGTTTTCCGAGTGAAAGATGGCCTGCCAATCACAAGGGCATTGGTGGACTCTATCCTGGATAGGAAAGTAGCACCAAAGTTTACTACTTTTGTTTACTATAGTTTACTACAAGTTGAAAGAACCGTTCAAAAATCTACACTCCAATGGGCTCTGCGTTTTGATCCAGCTAAGCCCATGGCGACGGCACTTCAAGGGTGGGATTTCTTCCAACGCCCACTTGGAAGATGACATCAGACTGGCCGCGGCACAGCAGGTGCCGAATGAAAGGCTTTGTCACATCATGTGGAATTCAAGCCAAGATCCAACTACCGAGTGGGAAACAATTCAAAAACAATCTGACAAGAAACGACGGTCATGGGGATAATATGGCTTTGAAAAAATCCCTGGAGGGGAGGGACGCTTGCCAATGGAAAGCCGACCTCTGACCCCTATGAAGGAAACCGCAACACAACGAATGAAAGAATCTGAGAGAATGAGGAATGCAAAACCTCCTTGAAACAAATACTTAACATCTCTTAACATCCAAGAGAATACTCAGTGTGGCGAAGTTCACAGCTTTCAGAACCTGATGAGTTTTTAGACTGTCTAATCAATCATGCATCTCCATGATTCTCGCCACACGTGTGCCTGCCCACATTCCTGCGAGAGTGGCATGATGGCAAGTTGGTTCTGCGGTTGGAGCCCATTCCCCGTGATCTCCACCTGAAAGGGTTGCAATGCTTTCATCGCTTGTTGCTCCTAGTAGCGTCCTTGCTCCTAGTAGTAAGGCCAAGAGCCCCTAGTAGCGTCCTTGTTCCTAGTAGCGATGCCAGGAGCCCCTAGTAGCGAACATTGTTATGCTTGCATCGCTTGTTGGAAAACTCTCCCCACCTCACAGGGGAAGCCATTGGTGCACTTTCCAGAGTGAGCAGGATTTGGACCTAGGACACGGCAAACACCTGTCCCCGCTTGGCTGTAACGACTCATCACATGACAAGTGTGCTTTGTGACTCAGACGGTCATGCCTGTGTAAATATGCGCACATTGAAAATTGAAGCCTTGTTGCGTTGCTAGGCTACGAACCAACTTGTCTGAAGATCAGCCGCAAGCGGTGATTGCCAGAGTCAGCCACATACAGGTCCTTTGCCAAAGCTTCTGTCGTCCCACCAGTGATCTTCAACAAGTGGATGCAGTTTGTTCCCGTCAAGCAGTTGCTTTTGTACAAACGTTCGACAGTTGCTTTTGTCCTTGGTGATTGGGTGAACACCAAGCCCATGTGGCCTTGCAAGAAGGTCACTACAGCCATCGCAACTTAGAACTGGCAGTACTTAAAACCAAACAAGCAGATCCTTTTTACTTTTAAACTCCGCTCAAATCCTTATCTTTGGATTTCCATCTTTGTCACTTGCCTGTTGAGCTCGGTGACCCAAGCGGTGCCTGAAAGCTGCAAGTGGCATGATTCTCCCTCCGTAGGCAATATGCCGTATCAGCTCAGCAGGTAGATGTTAGGCAATAACAGTGATGGAATTGACTGGGCCATGAAGAGCATACCTTGTCCAACCAACAAGACTTACAGGAAAGGATTCACGGGCATGGGATCGAACTTGCAAAAATACATGCAACGCAGGCAGAATTGGCCATGTATATATAGTGTGCGCAATGCGCTTCACCTCTCTACATCCCGATATTTTGGTGAACAAAAACAGAACTCATGTACTCACTGCGTTCTTCCCTTGCATCGTGTTGTCCTGCCTTGGTCACCCGAGAAACCAGCTCTGCTCTCTCGACCAGCAATGATATAGACCTTCACGGTAGTCGGAGATCAATGAGCACTGCCACTTGTTAAATCATCTGACACAGCAATGTTGTATTCCGAAGCAAAGCGTCATGAGAATGAGTGGACCAAAGGTCTAGGGGTCAGACGTCTCATGCATGCTTGATGGTTTGACCTTCTGACCTCGATTCATGCCTTATCTGGGCTGCCCACCAAACCCTGTTGCTGAGTCATCATCCCCTGACGAGCAAACCTGCAAAGGATTGACATTGACATGCAAGGCTAAAACAACTTTGTTTGGTTCATGGCGCACCTGTAGACTGAGTTGTCGCGAGCACCACCCTTACCTTCTGAGCAAGATGTGGAAGAGCCCTCAAACCTCTGTTGACCAAATTCAAGTGCGTGGAATGAGACAGCATGATGTGTCTAAATATACATAATTAGTAGACATGTTTGTCTTCGCAGCAAGAATAATACATCTGTGCATGATGAGCTTCGAGGATGAGAGTGCGTACTCAGTCCTATGTGCACAGCCCCGGTTCTGCATCCAAGATGCCGAAAATAGAGGTGTGCATCTGGGGAGGTGGCACAAACACCCATCTGCCGGATGGCAAAAACCTCGTACCCCAGTCTCAGGGTTGCCATGGCACACCTGGGCAAACTGTCTCACAAAAACTGTCTCAATCGCAAAGAAAGACTTTCATCAGAAAACATTTATATAATCCAACATGTACCAGCCTCTCTCCATTCAACACAGTCCGTGTTGCAGTTTTCAACAAACAGGATTGATTGTATCGACCAGGTGCGCAGTGATCGCATCTGGGCGATTTTCTGGGATGCCGGTAAGGTAATTAATTCCATACGGCAGCGACTGTCCTGACAGCAGTATCAAATATATATATATATATACATATATCCTAAAATGAGCAGCACACAAGTGACGTACTTCTGCTTTGTAACAGAGTAACAGCGGTAGCAAAAAAGTGACGATCATCTTGGCACTTCCAAGTTCCAGCCTTCAATGCTGGGAATCCAAGGGGACTCAATGTTTTCTCGCCAGCAGCCAACTGAGACATACTCCAAGGCTGGCCTGATCTTTTGCTTTCACAGGAATTGAAGTAATGTCAGTGGCTTACCTGCAACTCTGTGATTGATCCTGCGATTGCAACCATCAGTCAAGCAACACCATTAGCAAACGGTGGTTGGCGGAGTCACTGATGTAGACCAGTCCTGTGCACGTCTCTTGCATTTCCGACCTTGCTTTCTGAATGCTGAAAATATGTGTTTCTTTACATAATTTATATACATACTGTACATTACTGTACATTTCTGAAGAACACCAGGCTCCACCATCAGGCTGAACGTGGACGTGGACGTCGTTGCTCGCAGGCTACCACACGCTTCGCTAAGGCCAAACAACAACGAGTCAAGCTACACCAGCACAAGGTACCAGTGTTCAAGATGAGACCCCCCTTCCACTGGGGCTGCATCATGCCTGCACTGTGGAGTGTTGGGGCCAAGGCTTGGCGCCTCACTACCGTTGAATTCAGGGTGGCAGGGAATGTTGACATCCTCTTCGACCACAAAAGGGCAACCGGGTCACAGGCCATTTGTGGATTGTCGATCTCAAGCGTTCAAGCCGCACAACCGGAGCGTCAGGGCTCCAACCTTGACTCTCATCTCCCAGGACCCAGCCACGCCATTGCTTCCAAACCACATCTGTGTCTGGATGCCACCAGCAGTCAGGCCTAGAAAAATGTATACATACCATACCATCACATTATATATATATATGATACAATATACATTACATCAGTGCATTGCATACATAATTGTTTATGTGTTATAGAGAGAGAGACAGGTCAATGGCGATCTGCGTGGCTGGGATGTCCTTCGTCAGTTGCTACCCCGGAGGGTTCATTCATCTCTGCCATTTGTGCTTCTAATGGGGATGCCTCCTCAAGAAGACCAATGAGAGAATCTGTGAACTGCCGAGCAAAGAGTGGTGAAGGACACTGAAGACCAAGAAGAATGAGTGCTTTGCCGACTCCTTGGTGTAGTTCCCCCGTTGTCCACGCCCAACAAGCCTTAGTTAACATGAAGGAAAAAACTCTGCAACGCCAAAGTGGCAAAGCTTCTCTTTATCCAAAAGGGCCTCCGGCTTCCGTTTGAACTCCAAGGCACGTGTTGATGACGCCGAGGTAGCTCTGGTACTCTAAAGACATGGTCCTCACCTGCTGGCCACCTGCTTCGGAGATGTAGACATTCACTGGCAGTGTGCCGTCCTGGGAGTGGGCCAAAGGCAAAGGTGATTCAATAGCTGACTTAACTTGGCTTATTTAAACGGTCGAAGACTGCTGACCTAACAAGGAATTCAATGCCTCTTTGAGGCCTCTCCCAGCACCGACTTCGATGTGTAGAAGGCAGAAATCAGAGTTTGCAAGCGGTGCCTCGTTGCTGATAAATGCCGAGGACACTGCGACACCTGACGGAGCCTGTGCAATTGCGCTCAAGAACTGATGGGACGAGATGACAAGATGAAACTGAGCGCACGAGACCGACCGAAAAAGCAAAAACGCCGCCGGTCTCTTTTCTTGAGCCAAAGTCCAGGTATGGTTGAGTTCAGTACTGCTGACTGACATGTGCTTTTGAAAAGGGGTGGAGTGGCATTCGATTTCCCTCACTCCCCCTAATGGCTTAGCCATTACTTCATTCATTCAAAAACTCAAAGCTGCCGCAGGAGTGAGAGCTCTCAGAGTCCACAACCGCAGTTCGCCGATGGGAAGGCGTCGTTGCAATGCCCATCCACACCGGCATCTGATCCAGGTCTTCGTGGGCCAAGCCTTCACCAGCAAGCGATCGAGCCCAGCTGCCCTCGATGGTCTGGACTTCTCCTCGAGTTTCATAGCCCTGCAGCCGAGCTTGGTAGCCTATGCTTTCGCCATCCGTCGGCTCCGATGCACTCGGAAGAGAATCCTCCTCCTTGGCACGTCGTTGGCTTGTTCCCTCCGAACTCACAGCTTGTCCCCTCTCCAACGCCCGAGATCTCAGTGGGTGTTCAGCTCCATAGCCACGTTGACATTGGGCCACCGAGCCTGGAGGAGGAAGTGAATTCGAAGAGCTATAGGTCCCACCTGCTCTCCATCTGCCCTAGAGGCAAAGCGCGCGTAGAAAAAACTGTATCCTCTCCATTCGTAGATGTCGGCCAGGTCGGTGTTGCGGGAATTGACCCAATCGTCCATGATCTCGTCCCGCCGCCACAGCTCTCGGCTGCTGGTTCGATGAAAAGCCACCGTCACCCTGGTCGAAGACATCCTCTCAATCATGAATGGAGTTCCCCTGTACAAAGGATGAAAGGCCCTCACCCTGCTCTTCCGCAGAACCCGGACCCACCATTCTCCAGCTCCATCTCCACTGCCCAGGCACTCCCATCTGTCGTTGCCTGTTGGTGGAGTTGCAAACCGATCCAAAGTTCATGGGGCGTCCGTTCCCAATCCTCGATGGGAGACCGAAGAGCGCACGGCGCACAAGCGCGGACGCCATGGCTTCAAATGCGACGCGTCCGAGGGGGTGCCAAGTTGGCAAGAGTCGAACGAGCGATCGACGGCCGGAATTCGTTTTGGGTCAGGTTCATTTCCCTTGACCCCACTCCATCATTCACAATCCTACGTGGGCCAGGTTCATTTTCCCTTGGCCATCTTGTTTCCTTCACAATCCTCCTTGGACCAGGTTCATTTTCCCTTGGCCATCTTGTCTCCGTTCTTGTTGGGGATGCGTTAGACCTCTTTGTTGACAGGCAGTTTGCCGTCTTGCTCAAACCACTGGCTACGAATGCTGCTACTGCCCCCAATGCGGTCACGCAGGCAACTCGTGGAAGGCCTCCCACCCAGGGCATCGCTGCAATCAAACTCAAAGAGGCCATTGCGGCATACGCAGCCTTCTTCACGGCGCCGTCACTGGATTCTGGCTGAGCTTGGCAAGGTGGAGTGGTATCACAAAGACCAACTGCACTTCTGAATGCCTGCCAAGATTGCGACTGCGTGATGGACTTCGTTAACAAATCCGCACACAGTTCAGCTCCAGGGACATGTTCTACATCCCAAAGACGATGTTGAAGCCGTTCTCGAAGTACATGGCTTCTCAACCTCAAGTGGCGAGTCCTCCACGGACCAGATGGAGCCTGCAACAACTGCAGGCCCGACATGTTGTCCCCCCTAAGAGTGAAGGCCCCCTCCCTCTCGAGGATATTGTGATGCAAGACATTGACCACCGCTCCCACACTTTCACCAAGTGTGAATCCATCAATGTAGCCCAAAAGCTCACTTTCAGTGGTGCTCAAGATGGCAAAGGCTTGTGATTTCGATTCCCAGGCGACCAAGCATCCTCCCCACATAGCCATGATTCCTTGGTGACCACGACCTCCAGCTGGCGCAAAAGAGGGGTCCGTCCAAACATCCAGCCTGGACATCGACTGCTGCCGGCCGTGTTGATCAAGCTTCGTTGAGCACGGCCCATATTCCAGCGCCAAATCCGGAGTTGCGGCCAGGTAGCCGAGAACATGACGAGCCAATTCCAGAACAGCCTTGGGCGACTTGGTGACTCGCGCGCCCAGATGGGCTAAGGTCAGGTCTCCGTCGTAGACAGGCCTCCCAGTCCAAGACGTCTCCCATCCCGCGGACCAGGTTCTCGATGTCGCAACCTGGAGACACTTCTACACGGAGGTCCACCCACCACCGCCACCACATGTCCGTTCTTCGCCAAATGACACAGGGAGCGCCAGGTTCCAACTGAGTGCATGTCAAACTGGGTGCCCAGGGCAATATCCACATTGAGGATTTCATAGCCATTCCAATTCTCTGTTGTCCAGGCCTTTGAATCCCTACCTGAGTAGAGGTGGATGATCACCAGGTGCCCGTGCATGCCGTCGTCGTTGATGCCGATTCCAAGGACACTCTTCCGGACTGTAGTGATCTTGGCCCCGCATATAGTTCCAAACTTCCTGAGGAACCTCCGGAAACTTTGATGACCACCACTCTCGAACTTTCTCATCCAGCATCAGCTCCCCCTTATCCTCCTTCTCCATGATGTCCAGCAAAGCAAGGGCCTGCTTCTCCGGGAGCGCCGGACAACCTCCTCGCAATCTGCACTCATTTTTTCCACTGTGAGAATGGGTGATCTTCACGCCAGCTGAGGTCCACTGCAACTTGTATCCCAGCTTCACCAGTCTGTGCAATGGCACTATCACCTCGACGCTGTCCTTTGACAGCAAGGTACTGTGTTCCTTCACACGGAACAAGGTTGTTGACCCCGATGCCAATTCCACCATGACCGGCAGCAATCTCGGCACCTCATGTGGTCGAGCTTGACGTAGTCCATTCGTTGCACCACCGTCCAGAAGAGCTACCGTTTCGCACCCTTCTACACTTTGTGGGTTGAGTTCCTTCAATCGCAACACCTTCACGCTGCGCAAGGCCTTGAGCAAGGATGTGGCCTCTGACAACAACTCCGCAGTAGCGTCTCGACCCTGGGGCTTGTCTGCCACTTCCTCTGCCTTTGTCGTAGGAGGAGACCCACTGCTAGCGCGAGAGTTGTCAGGCTTGCCAGAATCAACTCCAAGCTTCTCCCCCGTCTCCTGCTTGTCAGCGTCCCTCACAGTCTTCACCTTTGACACCTTCTTAGAATCCTGCTTCGCACCCTTCGCCCCATTCGGACAGTCTTTCTTCATGTGAAGCCCACCACAATTGAAGCATCGACCCTTCATGTCCGCGTTGTCATGGGCATAGGTGCAACTGGTGCCACGTTTGCATCCTTCTTCACTCTTCCAAAACTTGCAGGATCCTCAGGGTCAGTCAATCCAAAGGCAGATGCCATAGCCTTCACAGATGTGGCTGGCTGAGTTCCCGCAGCGGTAGTTGTAGCTGTCACCGGCTGAGATTTCACTGGTGTAGTCAATGACACTTCTTCTTCCACCTCCGCCTGCACATACTCAGACAGCTCCATCACAGCTTCCACGGTGGCCGCATCACCCACCCTCAGCTCCTGCCGTACATTGGCGATTCGAAACGCCATTTGAGCTCCTCCAGGCTTGGTGGCACTGTCGATCGTTCGCTGTACAGTGACCATGAGAACCACAGGATCAGGTAGGGAGAGATTGAGTTCCTGTGCTCTGCTCAACCCGCCTCCACAATCTCACCTGCGTCAAAAGATCTGGTGTTCCAGTGGCAAACTTGGTCTCCACCAGGTTCTTGAGGAGTTGTGTCTTCTCGGCCCCACTTCCTGGTTGATACGCCACATGCAATCGGTACAGGATGCGCACCACCGAGAGCTGTCGTCCACTGACGAGGTCACGTCGAAGCTGGTCAGGCAATGCTCCCAACAGCATTGCAATGCCCCGTTGTTCAATCCTCTGCAAGGCAGGCTCCACCACCACCGCCGGCTTCGCTCGCAGTCGCTCCAAGGGACTCATAGTCAGCCAGCGGGCGTAGTGCTCCTGCGCAATGGACAACGATTCCTCCCACCAAGCCTTGGCGCTGTGCGAGATGTCCGCCATCAAAGGAAAGCTCATAGTGAGCCAGTCCCAAACAAGATTTCCCCTTCCACATTTGGAGAAGGCAGAGCAGGAAGTTCAAGGTTTCTCAAGGCCTCCGTCATCGATGCAGTCGACGCCCCACCACCAATCCTCACAACCCTCTGTCCAGATCCCGGATCCAACATAGAGCTCGACACTGGGCAATGCCCTTGAGATAGTCCAGGAGGTTGTTCTCGCAAACCTTCCGGTACATGTTCTCCCACATGCTGGCCACTTGAGACCGTTTTATACGAGGTTGTGTCCGTTGGTTCACGTCCTGCACCAATGCGACGCAGCTCACGCTGGAAGGTCTCTTCAGCCTCACGAAGAATCCTGGCCCTCAGCGCCTCAACATCATCCGGACCTGGTGAGGTACGTACCGAGTCCTGCATAGTGCACCCAGCACCCAGACCGGTTGAAGTAGGATTGCCTGCACATGGTTTCCCTTCGAACTTCTTGAGAATGACATTCACCTCCAAGTTGGACCCCCCGGTCACACTCCTCCTTGCAGCTTCCTGAACGCCTGGGCTCCAAAACGGATTGATGTTGGGTGACCGAACCGGTGTTTGCCGCATCCCATGCCCATAGTCCAAGGCTCTGGGGTTCATCAACCCATTTCCATCTCCAAACAACCCTCCTCGAGCTGCCGGATCGATGCCAGGTCCAAGAGGTGCCAAAAGACCTTGACCTTGAGGTTGTCCAGCTAGTGCTTGTTGAAGTACTTGATAAGTTCTTTGAACCGCATCATGAAGTGCCCCCAAACCCACAGCCGACTCGGTCGAAGTGGACGGTGCTGCAGCATTCTCCCCAGGTTTCACCGACTTGAGCGACGACGAACCGACACCCACTCCACTCTCCAGCTCTCGGGGGATTTCCTCAGATGGCCTAGCCATAGGTGGTCGAAAGGATGTAGGGGGACCCCGTGGCGTGTTGCCCACCTCCGCCGTCCGTCTCGATCCTGCATCCGCAGAGAGCTTGTGCCTCCGCTTTCCGTTGCTCGCCGGCTCCACCAGCGGCTGCCTCCTGCCGCCTTCTGCGCATGGTCGAGGACGACATGGCGCTCACGTGCTTGGGCTCATAACCTGAGCGCACGAGACCGACCGAAAAAGCAAAAACGCCGCCGGTCTCTTTTCTTCAGCCAAAGTCCAGGTATGGTTGAGTTCAGTACTGCTGACTGACATGTGCTTTTGAAAAGGGGTGGAGTGGCATTCGATGTCCCTCAGAAACGAAGGCTTATAAAGCAAGAGAAGTTTCAAGACGAATTGGACAAACGAAAATTGTTTTCTTCCACAACTGTTGGCTTGCCTGCATTCGCGCCAACCAGGCCACACCACCATCACCCTTGGTGGTTGAGCCAGTCGCGCCACCTTAGACGCAGCTTTCTCAAATGCCAAAGTGAACGGTCGCGGCCACAGGGCACGTGTAGACAGAGTTACCACGTCTAGTTGTAAAAAACAGCCTCAGAGTCTTGCCTGCAGCCGTAAGGATGATATTCCTTCGGAACTCATTGGTGCCTGCAGCAATAGCAGCAATGAATGACACTTCATAGCGAGATTTTTTGTATATATATAGTCATGCTGTGCCAAAAGGCTGCGTTTATTTTGCGTCACTATATAGTTTGAGTTTGATATGTTTTGATAGCTTAACGCGCTTCGGCGCTTCACTCGGATGCGCCGAGGCGAAACTCTCGACCCCATTCAGGACATGTTGCTTGGAATGCGGACTGGGATCTCCATGGACACCACACGCAACACGTTGTTTCCGCTGTCACCTTTGCTGTGGCATCTGCAACTAACACAGTCTTTGCAGAACTTGAGGCCAACAGTCCAAGGCTGTGGAAAAACGAAGGCGTCCAAGTTCAGTTTTGTCGCTAGGCTATACTTAATATTCGATGCTTCGGACCTACAGTAATCACTCTTGCATTTCAAAAATATCCGCAGCCGAGGAACATATCCACAGCATTTGATTCCTCAGGTAATGCTCACTGCCTTGTATACTTTGACCAGCTCACCAACCAAATGGTGTCTGAGAACTGTCGGCTGCACAAAAAGTGATGCACGAATCTAATCCCAACTGCTTCCGTGATGTTGTATATTCCTGACAAGTTACAGGTCGACTGCCACTCCAGTGGGGGTGTCAAGCTCTGCCTGCGTAGCAAGTTGTCCCTCCTCAGCACGGCCTTTAAAGCCATTGCCTGCAACCGTTTCGATAATACCTGCACGCAGAGAGGGGCTGCTTCAAGAAAGATGCAGTGATAATCAAGACCGAAGACCTACAGATGTTGTCTGGCCGCTTTCAAGCGCAAGTATGCCCATTCTGACCATTCTGATTCTCCACCACCTGCGTTCAAAGGGGTTTGCGCCAGGTCAATCCTTCGCACACGGTGGCTGCCAGCATCTGCAATATATAGGAATCTCAGTTTGGAGGCGAATGGATGCAAAATGATGCAAATACTTTGGAGGATCACTTTGAGGCGGCCAACAAAGCCAAGGCACCTCTGATCTTTGTCCAAGGCAAGGCCACTGGGTGACCACAGCTCTGCATTGTAGGCCGGCTGATAATCACCTTGCACCGACGAGCTGATTGGTTTCTGAACTTTCCTTTTTCATGGGTTCGCTCTTTTGACTATGCTGTGTTTGAAGGCGCCTCGCATGCCCGCAAAGAATTTCCCTGCCAGTGTGTAGATCTTGCCTTAGTACCAACTGTTTAGAATGTAGAAACATGCCAGTCGCAGCCTCTGTGCCAACCTTGGGAAACAGGAAATGGTGTCTTTTGTTCTTCTGTCTCTTGTGCGGGGTGGCAAGAATGGATTGCAGTGTAGGTTGTCGGTTTTGGCCAAAGAAGCATGTGATCTGATTTGAGCTTCACACTGACTAATGTTGTCTCTTGTGCCGATGCAAGTTCCCTTGCAAATAGTTGGTCTGGTGCTGCCACGATACCTTCCTCAATATTCATGTATCTGATCATGTGTGTTTCTCTCTCGCTGAAAAAGATCCGTGTGTCAGACACGGCGATTCCTTGGCAATGATCATTGCAGTGCTGAAATGAAACCAAGTCAGAGCTGTACGCAAGCAAGTAAGTAGTAGCATGCGAAGGCTCCGTAAGGTGCAGAGAGGGCTTGAGAGATTGCGGGCTCATCATCCTCAATCATACCAGGCCATATGAAATCATATTTGTGGTCAACGCAAACTCGGGATGTTCTTTGTAGTTTGGTGCTTGAAAAAGTCTGCTTTGAGAAGCTTGGAGGGTAGCTTGGTGCAGTCAAGGGATCAACCATATCAGATGTGCGATTGGGCACTTGCCCATTTCCAGCCACGGTCAGCATCATTCCGTTGATTATCAAAGTTGCAACGTGCATGGAGAAGTGCTCGTCCAATGTACAACCACCGTCTCCACCACACCAACAAACCTTGTACATGCCCATTCCTTAGTGCACATGAATCATTCAACCAAGCTTGATTTTTCATTCATGATCTGGTTTGCTAGACTGCGCAACCAACAAATGCTTCATAATCTGATCTTAGACTATTTAAAAAAAAAAACTATATATATATATATATATACATACATATGCATATTCTTATATGCACAATTGTATTGTGTCAAAAGAAGGAAGACAGCAAACCTAAAGCGTTGGTTGAGTGTCTATTGATTTGGATATTCTCCCAGGTCTCGTCGTTGTAGTCGCCATGTGCGCCTCAAGTCTGCTCACTAAAGCTAGACTGTGCTTGGAGTGTTGTTTTTTTCGTTTTCGTTTCAAAAGTTGCGAAATGTTTCCAATCTTGTCACGGTACGCGCTCCCTTGGGAGATGTGAGCGCCAGCACTGTCGAATGCATTGTGGCGGAACCAGTCAAACCGCAAAGTACCGTGTCGGGGACAATTCGTATGCGGTCATGTGCATCGAGGGCCACCCCTGGCAAGCTGATGCAAACTTCATGCCAAGGTCCAGAATGCTGACAGCTCACATCATTCGGGGGGGTGAAAAGCATCTACAAATGCAAGGCACCTGATAGTTGTAGGTTCCACATGCCACCGGCTGTCTGCAGCACATGCTTGTTCCCGGTCGGCCCCTCACATCGTACCAAAGAAGTGACCACAGATGTTCAAAGTAATTCCTGCGCGATTTCTTTTCATCTCAATCTTCTCGCCTTTGGGGTGACCTCCATCTCACAAATTGAAAATGGCGCGACTTGTCTCCCACTGACGCGGAGCACAAGAAACAAGTAACGGCCTCGGCAGCATGCACAGGTGAGCTCCTTTGGGTACAGGCTCACAGTCGAATCTTTCAGTGACAAATGCTTTTTCTCTGCAAGAATTGAGAACCCCAACGCTTTTTCCTGTTTGGGGAATAAAGCAAGCATGGCTCGACAAGGCCACTACAGCAATATTATATAGTTCTGGCCTGAGATGTTCTAGGTTCTAAACTGCCTCTTTGTTGACTCGACAGGGTTGGCAACATGGTTTGTGGTTCCTAAGTCTTACAAAGCGCAAGCAAGCAGCCTCTCGCCAGGCAGTTGAACATGTTTGGCTGGATCTGCTGGCTCAACGTAACGCCCTTCAACACACGCATCCAGGCTCTAATCCATTCTCACACAACAACGTATACAGTATGCGAAGTCGGAACTTGATTTCTTCTGCGAAGTAAAGCACCACAATAGTTTGCACGGGTGGGCTCACAAATCTCTGCTGTCCTCTGCGCAGGCCAAGTTCTCCCGCCATGTGAACTTGGTGTTCCCCAATCGGATGTCAATAGGACCTTGTTCCAAAATGCTCAACAAAAAACTCTGGGAAGCAAGATGAAGCAACTCTGCATGACTCTGAACTCGCACGCGGATTTCTGAGTCTGAGAAGTAGGCCAAGGCCTATGTCTGCGGAGTCAGTGCGTGTCCATAAACGGACCACAGCTACAGGGACCTGCACCATTTTGTACTTTGGAGACATCAACGAGCTCTCAAAGCATAACTCAATGGACCTGTTTGGCAAAGAGTCTTGTTGCTCTTATGATTTGGTCACGGCAAGTCTCACAAATTCTCTCATCGAGAGTCTGCCTCGCGGCCTAAGTCCACCCTCATCCATGGGTCAGGTTCAGCCTGTTTCAGGCAGCGAAGGCAAAGTTGAATGCAGACCTCCAGACTTTAATGCGCACCTTCATCTACAGCCACCATTTACCAATCTGACAGAAATCCTTGAATTCCTAATGCCTACTATCCTTTTATTTTCCGTCGCTTTTCTTTCGGTCCTGCCTTGGTCTCGGCGCACCCCAAGCCAGAGAAGAAAAAGGTACCATAGTTCCCGTCAGTGGCACGGAATCCATCCCCAGTATCTGTATCTGTTCCATCGGCCGAGGTGTACCTTGTTCGCAAAGAAACGTCCATCAAACGCTCTGAAAGAGCTGCTTCAAGAAGGGCATGAAACACAATGAAGCCACTTCCGTTGACTTCACTCATGTATGCTGCCGAAAAGCCTTGCAGTGGAGGATAGCACCACTGGTTGTCCCAGTGCTAAGTTGGGTGCAAGCCGTGTAGCCAAAAGCCTAGCAAAGGCCATCACGAGTTTTTGCAAGATCGTTGTTGCGCTTATCATTGTCATGTTACTATACACTCTGACTCTCTACATCATTCTACATCTAATTTGATACATATATATAATGTTTAAAGGATTATGGATCTGGAACATTAAAAAGAGTAAAAGCATTGATCTTGCTCTTGTCGTGTACTTTGGCATCCTAGCTCGGTGCACTGAGGCCTCTCATCGCCGCTGCATACAGTCAGCGACAACAGAAGCAGCGCTCTCCACATGAGCCCGGCTTAGCCGCGGCTCGTCAATGAAGCATTCGCTGCGGAAAAAAGAAAGCTCTGGAGTTACACCCTGAAGGAAGGGGCCGTGGGCTTTGCCTTCAACTGGCGGTTTGACTTAGCTGAGCGCTGGGTGACCTATGGCCAAATGAGTGCTTCGATCTCTGCCCAGGAAACTAGAAAAAGCACAGCTTATAGATGTACAAAGTACCAAAATGTAACTCAGAACGCATGATGGCTTCTAATCCTACAAAGTACTGCGAGCGGACACGTATTCCAAGGCGTGCAAGAAGCATGCAAGCTTTCTGCTTTCAATTAATCGATACATTACCATGGCCATTTACCACAACTTCGAACTGAAATTGTTTGCCTAAGACTCCCGAAGGATCCAATTCCAGAGAGCAACAGGCATTCCACATGATTGTTTTCATGCTCTGGGTGTGGCACCGACTCAAAGGCTCTTTCTGTCGTTCTTTCTGTTCTTTCTTTCTCATAGAAGCGAACTAGAAAGGGCTCTCTCAGAAATCGGAATTCGCCAATTGATCAAAAATCTGCGATTCCACGCAAAACATCACCCAAGTCTTTTTCAATTCGTTTGGGTCTGCATGACCCTGCTCTGGGTGTTCAACATTGGCCGACTAGGCCGCTGGGTTTTCCAGAAAATGCTTTGTAGACGTGCCAGCGCAGGGAAGCAAAGCTATACAGCACCATTCAACCTGTACGTGATTCAAAAGGTAACTGGGATCTCAACCATTGACCATGTCCTTTCACGCAGTCGGTGAAGCATTCAATTGAAGCCAGGAGCCCAATGGAAAGCCAGGCTTAGCCAGCTTGCCGCTGGGATCAGTAAATTCCACCGAGTTTTTTGTGCAGCCTTGGCCTTGGCATTGCCGAACATGTGGTTCGAGAATTCGAGAACCGCAACTTCTCACCAGACAAAAACAGGTCAGACAGTTTGTGTTTCCGGCAGTTTGTGTTTCATACTGGTACTCCAAGGTACGGGTGAGCCGCCAAATACGGGCAAACAAAGGCACTGGCGGTGGCGAAGGCTTCCCTTGCCACAGACACTTTTTGACAAAAAGAAGCTGAAAAGGCAATCTGGCAGCACCGTTGATGCCGCTGCAAACCAAAGTAGAGTCAAAGTTCCCTAAAACTCCAAAGTAGAGTCAAGTCAAAGAGCAAATATCCAACAAATGGTAGCAAAGACTGCATCAAAGTGCAACTTCTTGCTCTAGCCTGGTACATTGAAGTTCACCATGGCACCACAGAAGTCGTTCAAATCAGCTTTCACAACCTTGCAAAATAACCGCAAAATTCGAAAGATTTTGGTGGCTCTGCGGTTGATCTTCCTAGTTGCCTGTGTAACGGAAAGTGAATACTGTACTTGATACATCTTTATATGCTCTGGCTACTCCAGACTCCAGCCTTGCTGGTATTTATGATTTGGCGAAGCTGCAGTCCATCTCAATCCCTGTTGCCCGTTTTCTTGGAGATCGTTTGTGGGATATCGTTTGTGGTCCCAAGCCCATTTTCTTTTGAGTCTGTGTTGCAGACGGTTGCAGTGAATGACTGGTGCTCTGGCTTGCGTTTGAAGCCGATTATAGATGAGGTCCCACCAACCAGAGCTTTGCACCAAAACAGAAAACAGCATGTGTGAGTGGCGAAGATCGCGTGTGCAAAAATGTTCTGCTTTTGTCTTTGGTGTTTTTGCTGACACCTTGTGTCGCCCAGTCCTGCATTCCTCCCCGTTCCCACACCTTCCCTCACAGACAAGCTAGTGAAAATCTGTGAACTGTACCATTCTGTAGTGGTGTGCCACAAGGAGCTCCGGTTATATAGTGCCCAGTTTTCACTGAGCCACCCATGTCTGGCTCTTCTTGGTCGAGGTGATTCTCACTTTGGAGTCTTTGATCTCGACGGCCTTCAAAGCGTTCAGTCAAACAAGGAGCCAAACCTGCATCATTTGGGGTGAACCTTTTCGAAGCAAAACAAGTTAAATAAAGGGGCAAACCCCTCATTGGCCATCATCTTGAACGGTATGTGTACAAGTTTGTTCTTGGACACATCGAGCCTTCTTATCACCGTCATGAATATCGGCATAAATAGCGTCGCTGAATTCCTTAGGGAATGATTAAGAATACCTGCTTCCAGCCTTATCTTTGGCCACAGAACAAAGCAAAGAGGTGGATTCAAATTTGACACAAGAAACTCAGCATATAAGACCATCTCAGAACAATAATCAACCATCAGACATGTGTGCTTTTCGAGTCTGTTCAATGTCAATGTGCAGCAAAGCAGCTGGACATGGTGGTGCTTTTGATGGACTACCACCCAGCTGCACCCAGGCGTTCAATGGCACCATAGCAGGTGCCAAACTCAGCTTTGGTTGCCGCAAGAGGTGCCAAGGAGTCTAAGTTTCAGCATGCTAAAACAAAGAAGCATGTTGTCTACATTGAAGCTTGAGCTTTGAACTGGTCCCAATATTGGTGCAAGTGCATATACATAACATGTATGTATATACATATTTTTTTTTTAAATAGTTCCTTCTTGGCCGTGCTTTGCCGCAGTGTCAGTAATTACAGATTCCATGTCTCGGTCTCTCAGGTCTGCTCAGGTTTCGCCTCGCCTGCTGCTAGGGTCACTAAATTCGAAGGTCACCTTCTCAAGCGCACCCTGACGAAGGTCGTCGTAGGACAGCAAGTAGGACCGGACACACAACATCTCTGAAAACTTGGACCAAATGACAAAAATTCAAAGGGCACAATGGCCGTCCTTGCCTTCTCAGAGTTTGCTGCAGCCCACCTATGAAACACAGGTCAATGAGCATGGAAATTCTAGGCTTAACATGGCTGGTCTAACTTGCTGCGAGGTCAACATGTTGTAATCAAATCACTTCTGCATCTAGTTATTCTCATCAAAAGCAATCAGCGGACAATCCTTTTCGCAAACCCAGTTGCCAAAGCGTCATGAGGAGCTTCACCGGCGGTGGATTCGGCTTTCCAGGCACATTGAAATCGATGAGGGCAGTGCAACTCTCGGCAAGCGCCGCAGTCCTTAGGTGAAAAAGGTCGCAATCTCATTTGATCATTTGAAGCCCGCTGTCGCTCATGTGCTCCAGTTACCACTCACTGGCCACAAGGTAGCTGAACTATCTGTGCATCCTGGCTAATACTAACAATAAAAATACGTACTAGGTTGACGTTAACAACAAGCGGCGCTGTCCACACCAGGCACCCATCTGGGTTGTAAACCATAGTAAAATTAGAATCATATAAACCTACACCTCTCGAAAGGAACAACTGGTTTCAACTCAGTCCAAGTGGCACACGCCAAGTTTGGTTGTTCCCATGCGGCTTAATCTCCAGGGCTGCCCCATCGACTGTCACCTGCAACAGTGCAGGTGAAGAAAAGAGCTCTGTAGAGCACTGTAGCTTCTCACAAAATTGGGTACCGTATTGTTTCGGAATATTCCTTAAGTAAGTACATCACACTGGCATAGGCCCAAATGGTGGCGCATTTCTTGGCAGCAAAGAACTGGTCCTCCAACACCAACAATGTTCATCGCTCTGCGGCCAGGGCCATCAACCTATGGCCTGGGAGACACAACAGCAGCAATAGCCAGCAACATCCTGGTTAGCAGGCAATCACCTTCGAAGACAGCAGCCTAGAGGATATTGGGGGAATCAGAGCTGGCAGCAAGACCCTCTGCGATCAAGCCCCAGATATCGTGACAAGTCTGGCCTGGAGGTAATCTTAGCTCACCCAAAGCAAAGCTGTGATGTGATGGCTGCACTCACAATAGAAAGACTCAGCAGAAACACTTGCCCACAGGGTTTTCAGCGATCTCCCACAACTTTCAGCTGATTGAACACAGACTGAGGGACACTGCTGAGGTGGTTTGAGCACAAGAATACCTTTCACGTGAATACCTACAGCAGCCCTTATAGCAGTCATTCAAACGAAACTGCGAAACCAAGTTGAAAGCGGGAAGAAGCGCCACAAACATTTGGAAGTGTGTCCGCAAGGAGCACATGTCCAGCCTCACATTTTGAGAGGCGGCAGCCGTAACCAGGACTTATATATAGAGAGAGAGAGAGACTTAACAAAATGTCTGCAAAAATGAGAGTGTTCAAGAATTGGACTGGACACTGCCAAGCAACCCTGATTGCTCCAGAAGTGAGAGCATCTTGTCAGGTCCACATGCAATACACGCCCGCCACAATAACCCGTTTGCTCTTCTTGCGTTGTTTGCTTGAATCACTTACCTTAGACAGTGATTGCTCCTGTGTGCCATGGAGATGATGCACACTGGTAGTCATACCCCACTGGATTATGGTACCGAGACAAAGGTTAACCGTAGCCACAGCTTTCAATGCGGGTAGGCGGGTGAAGGGTTGGGCAAGACTGGACCCTCTTTTACCTGCGCAGTCTTTGCAAAGAAATTCATCAAGCGGATTGCAAGCTCGCCTGCCTCTTTCTGGTCACCATCATGCATGTCCGCGAAAATTGCATTGAAGCTCTGGCGCACATCAGCAGGCTTGCACAAACTGGTTTTGAAAGTCCAGTTCTTCTGAAAAAAGATGACGGCTTCTAATTCACTTCGGAACTTACCTTGACTCAGTTGGGTTCAGGGCAAACAGCTCAAACAGAATGATGTTCTGCATGAACCCTTCCAGTTACCAGTTGATGCCTGCGGACATTGAGAGGCACTGGAAAGAGCAGTCAAGCTGATCAGTGCTGTCAGTCTGATGGAAGGCAACCTGAGCATGTCCCACGAACATCTGCTACACATGAAATGAAGCTAGCGAGAACATGCAAGTGCAACAAGCCAAACAAACAAATGCCAGGAAACAAAGTAAGCGAAGCAAAAGCCATGCTGATAAGCTGGAGTTGAAACTGCTTTCGAGATTCGAAGTTTATGCGGCTGACTAAGCATGGTTCAGCAATCCGAATACAAACTCTTGCAACGTCAACGTGATAAAGCTGGCTCGAATTCTTTTTCTTCCTGACTCGTGAATGCAGGCGTCTGGTTGAGATCCCTCAGGGATAAATATCTCCAGACTCCGCACCACAAGTTTCAACATGCTCCACAAGATTTCCGACAGAGCTGCACAAACTCAGCAGCCACACACCAGCCAGCTGCAAGCCCATCTGTGCAATTTGCAATGGGGCCAATGGCCGGAAATGTTTGATCAAGGCATAGGCATCCTCCAGGACATGCCGCAGGCACCTGCGCCCAGTAGCTATTAGCAAACCCTAGCAACAAGTTAGGTAAATGGTCCTACCTACCCACTGAGGACAAAATGGTGGCCTGTTCTTGCCAGCTGATGCGTCAAGTTCAAGCAGGGCAAACAGCAAACATAGGATTACGTTCCCTACTTAATCCGAGCCCACAATTGCACAAATTAAAACTGGTATTGGTGGCAAATGTCCCCCTGAAGCACTTAGTTAGGCACTAGAAACCCTCCCACTTAATCTGCGCCCACACAGCCAGGTCAATTCTTCTATCATAACTACTACTACTACTACTACGACTACTACGACTACGACTACGACTACGACTACTGCTACTACGACTACTGCTACTACCACTACGACTACGACTACGACTACGACGTCTACTACGACTACCACTACGACTACCACTACGACTACGACTACGACTACGACGACTACTACGACTACTATTACGACTACGACTACGACTACGACTACTACGACTACGACTACAACTACTACGACTTCTACTACTACTACTACTACTACTATTACTACTACCACTACTATTACTACGACTACGACTACGACTACGACTACGACGACTAGGACGACTACGACTACGACTACGACTACGACGACTACTACTACTACTACGACTACTACTACTACTACCACTACCACTACCACTACCACTACTACTACTACTACTACGACTACGACTACGACTACGACTACGACCACGACCACCACCAACACCACCACCACCACCACCACTACCACTACCACTAAGGTGGTCAGGCCTCCGATGGATTCGTCAAATTTGTGCATCCGCATGTTTCAGGACACAAACGAGCTAGGGGAGCCCAGAGTTCTTCATAGCCTTCGCACCACGATTGTGACATCACGAGTTCCTCACAAATTGTCACTGTGAAAAAAGAACATTCTGTAGAAGAATGGAAGCCAAATGAGGACATCTCAAGATCACATGAGCTGACCTTAAAATGAAAACATGTGTGCTGAACAGAGTCCTTTTGCAAAGATGGAATACCCAAAGCAGAACAACCATAAGCTTTCATAGCATCAGTGACTTGCTTCACACTTGCTGCCAAGGATGAGTTTTCTGACTCGAGATTGAGAGCCTCTCCAAGTTCTGCTTCAAGGATGCTTGGATAAGAATTCCAAAACTTCTTCCAGGCCATCTGACCACCCACCTGACTAGTCTGGTCCTTGCACGCTCCAAATTGACCAGCTTCAGCGAGGCACGTGATTGGACAGCCTTTTGCAGGAACTTTAAACCAAGGACTACCCAGCGGATTTGAGCAGCATGTCTGCCCACAAACGTATCTCAGCAACTGGCCATTTGGATCATCACATTTCTCCTGCATATCCGCACACGAGCTGTTGCTTGGAAAGCCAAGGCCGAGAATAGCTGACATGAAATGGGGCCGGTAGTAAGAAGCTGTCTCTGCATGTCTGGGATCCACGAATTCAGAGCCAGCTTGGAAGAAGATATCGAGATCAGCACACCAAGTATGTTCAGAAGCTGCTTCCTTCATTGTCTGTGTCTGATATTTCTGGAAGCGGCCAATGTCAGAATGGAAAGTGATGTAGGTTGCTTGAATGTCTTCTTTGAAAAGGTAGTCGTCAACTGCCAATTGAGTCAAAGTCTTGTCAGCACTTCTGTTGAATGGAATGGACTGGAAGCCTACGGGCATGTTCTGATCTTTGTTGAGTCCAATGACAAAGTCTTGATGCCCACCACAGTGAGCCTGTTTCACAGCTTCCATTGTTTGCCCCAAAGGCTGCACAAGGACAAACCATGGCCATGCCAAGAGTGCTGCCAAAATCACAAGAATGCACAGTGACTCGGTTTGACTCCGACATCGGCTGTACTGGACCTTAATGGCTTCGAGATCCTGTACTTTCAGCTGCAGCTTCTTTGGCATCAAAGCTGAGAAAACCATGGCATCAACTTCCAAGATTGCTCCCAAGGCAACAGCGTTCAAGATAAGGTCCGTAATGGACGTGGTGCTTCCAAGCCACAAAATACCTGCATAAAGCAAGGTCCCGGCAATACAGGCACGAAGGATGCGCAACAGGCAATATGCCCAGAATCTTGCAAAGGAGATCGTCTCGAAGCGTCCATTCTGAAAAGTCGTCTTTGGTCTGCGAGGAATTTGCGCAACTGCTTCCAAGGAGAGGAAAATTGTGCGAAATTCATTGCAAAGATAAAGACACCATAGCAAAATACAAAGCATTGCAAGCAAAATTCCTAGCCGAAAGTCAGTTGCTTCCAACTCATGCACCTCAAGGTTGAGGAAGCTGTTGATTCGCTGAATGAGAGCTGCCTGTTCAGTTGAAATAATCAAGGAACCATCATTGTTGCATACACGAGATGTCAGACTTGTATGTGCCAAGTCTAAGTATGTGTGATCATGTGCCACGCTACGACGCCAGCTGAGGGCCGTCTCAACCTGTCTTTCATCAAATGGCTCTCCGAGAAAAGATTCGCTCGTCAGGATCCAACTGAAGGTGATTTGAATGCCAGCACTTGCGACTAGGAGAAGCCAAGCTATGATCACATCAACCCAGCCAACACTAGCATGACCCAATACTAAGACCAAATTCCAGGTCGTTTCCAAGAATGCAACAGGTTCCATGGCGTCGTCAGCGGGCTGTGAAGTCTGCAGGTTGCGTTCAACCCCAAGATCATCATCCTCTTCATCAGGCTTCGGAGCCACAACATCTCCAAGTAGTTTCTTCACCTGGGATGACAAGTCACTAGTCACCAATGCATGCTGTTTAAACTCTCATGAATTTTCAGCAAAAAACGTCGCACATCCTATATACACCAACAGCGAGCTTCTCACAAAGGTGATCGAACGCCAAAGTCGAGCGGCGTTCGTGCAGAACGAAAAACAAAGCTCTCATGCTATGAAAGCAGTGGCACATGGGACATGAGGGTGTGCCGTCGAGGGGTGTGTAATCTCATCAGGAGACGCACATCTCCCTTTGAAAGTTGAATTTATTGCAAGCATGGGCCACACGGTTGGCGAATGCTCACACCATCATGCAGTTTGGAGAGCTTCGATTGGGTTCGTTCGAAACATGCAGAGAAGCACACACATGAAAGCATTCCAGGGAATTGTTAGTTTGAAGCAGCACACTCTCGATTACTTCCAACTATCCCACCCGACCAGGCTGGGACCACCTTGGGTAGTATCACTGAATCACACATTGCTAAGTCAACATAATTATATATTATAAATATAATATTATATATATATATATACTGCGTATATATACTTGGTGGTGGTTGTTGTTGTCGTCGTTTTTCAACTGTTGCTGACCTCATTGTCGTTGTCATTGGGATGCTGTTGTCTTTGTCTGCGGCCCTGATGCTTATATTTCCGTCATTGTTGCTGTCCCTGTGGGTGTGGTGATTGCCATTGTGGCCATTGTTGCTATTGTTGTGGTTGAGGTGCGAGCCATCATCCTCACCACCCAGCAACTGTATCAACAACAACAACAACAACAACAACAACAAAAACGAGAGCAAGAACACCAACAATGCCAGCAATAGCAACAGTGGCAGTAGGTCCCATTCACGACAAGAACAACACCTTTTCTTTTCACTTCACTCGTTCTCGTTTGGATGTTTTACTCAAAACCGAAGCTGAAAGCGCTGTTCTTCCGAACCAGCTGTATGGTATGACTGAGACGGTTTGGCACATGAACAAGGTGGTGCCACCACCAACTGGAACGATCCCGAAGCTCCGTGGCATTAGTAGCAAGAAGCTACTAGTAACAAGTGCATCAGTAACAAGTGCATTACTAGTAACAAGAAGCTATGAATTAAGTTTCAGAATGGTGAACGCTGCGGAAGTGCCATGTGCCGATGCTGATCGGCGCCGGGGAGGTGAGCGTCCTCCGATCAGTCAGCTCGACCTTGAGGACAATGATCTGATTCCATTGTAAGTTGGCCAGGAATTGGACTTCATCCCAAGAGGCTGACTGAGTCATGCAGTGTGTGGGCGGGCCAAAATTCGGCCAAAAAGTACGGTAAGCCGCCCTCCGCCCTGCAGTGAAAGGGAAACTGAAACACGATTGAATAATGAATGCAAGTTAGCTTTACATTACATTTAAACAAAGTGGCTATAGTCTATAGTTCGTTTGTCTTCGCCAACTGACCGCAGTTTTGTTTTCGGAATGGCCCGTTAGCAAACAACAACAACAACAACAACAGGAACAATCAATGGACAGACTTGGTGGAGAGCAGGTGGAGTAAATTCGTGTGGACTGAATGCACTCCAACCTCAAAACACAAGCAGGGACTTAGGGCGGCTATACAAAACTGTCACACAAACAAAAATGGCGGCCTGGGGCGGATTGTGGTCGAGTTCGAGCTGTACCACCTTCTGGTCGCTAAGATGGTTTCCAGCCTCCAAGACATCGAGTCTCTCCAAACATGGCCGCAAAGCTCGCTCAAGTTCTAAGCGGAAATCCTCTCTCAGCCGCCGCTCCAAGTTCACAACGTTCTTTTCGAGCTTGGATGCCGACATTCCACAGGAGCTGATCCAAAGCTGAGCCTAAGGTGCTCATGTGGTGAAAGTGGTCAGCAAGCAAAATGATCCAAACAAGTAATCATGGAATATTGAAGGTCAGGTTCCTAAATCAACCAACTTTGCTTACTTGCTGATATTTACGGCGATTCAATGCAAGTGTCAAAAGCACACAAAAATGCAATGATCGCCCGCGCCGATCAAATGTGCGGTAAATGCAAAAAGCTCTAAAATTGGCAGAAATTGCCGTGGCAAATGCAAGTAACTTGCCCCTGGAAAGCTACTTTGGGACAACTCAGACACACAAAACAAATGGCCAGTGTTGACTTTTGCATACATGTATGAATTTGGTCCCGACCGCGACGTCCAACGGCGTTTTCACGCAGGCGTAAGCGCGGAAAGCTCAAGGGCCCTGTAAACCCAAATGGCAGCAGAATGTACCATGGACAGAACTCAGCTGCACACAAGAACCAACAACAGGGAAAATTCACACTCAACCTGTTCTTCGAGTCTGTCCGGGATCTATGCACAATCTGCCATCTAAACAGGAACTTCTGCAAGCAGTAGCGCAGTGCGTTCTGCGTTCAAGGTGTTCAAACTTCTCTACTTCGGCTTGTTCTTGTCAACTTGCCAGATACACGATCGAAGGTCCAAAAGTTGTAAGTTTCATGCTCTTTGTCAAACAATTACTCAACATCGAAAGAGTGCTGATCCAGTCTAGACGGTCTCCTCCCTTCAGGAAAATGTTTCCATGTCCTTTGAGGTCCTTGCCACAAGTTCTCATGACTTGCAGCCAATCCCAAGTCGCTTATCAGACACTTTGGCCCGTCTGCGTCGAGGTGATCGCAAATCCGAGAATTGCAAATGCGGGACAGGATCTCAAATGGATTCCCAGTCCTTGCTGTGCAAACAACCCTTCGTCTCAGCGATAAGGGCACGGATTGCAACGAATATGTCTTGGCTTGGAGAGTCGAACGACACGTGGAATCAAGCCTATCGCAGGTGGGTTGCTGGCGAGAAGCCAGAAGCCGACAAGGGAGTGCTCGAATGGCAGTCAAGTGTTTTTTTCACAAGTCGAGCCGCCATTCATGCAGCAAGTGCACAGGTCAGCTTGCGCAATTTGTGGGAGAGTCTCTATCAAGAAGGGTGCAAAACACCAAAACCAAACACAAAAGCAAAACCAAACCCCCAAAACCAAAGCAAAACCGACCAGCAGAAACACAAAGTAAACTTGAATGTACATGCATAGGTGAGACAGAGAGTGAAACCGAGGTTGGGCACCGAATTAGAGCAAAAAGGGCCACGAGGTTGGCCGTACAAACGCTTGCTGGCACATCATGACACTAGGTCAATAAGCCTGCATCGGCAGGCTGTGTCATCGAGCACTAATGAGCTGCGCTTTCCGTGCTCATTGTGGAATGGCAACCGGGAAAATCTTGAAGAGGCACAGGCAAACTAGCCGGGCAAAAATGCGACAGACTGCACTTGAGACAGTGCGTTTGGAGGGCCAAGCTCTCAAGCGGTGCCCTTGAACAAGTTGGCGCAGTTAAGGGTGGAGCTAATGTCCTAGCACCTGGGGCAACTCTGGGTCCACCCCTATATGCAGGAACACCGCAAGGATGTTTCCACTCGACTGGAATCATGAGGTTGTCTCTTCCAGCGGACGTCAACTACATTGGCCACAGAACCTGTGAAAACTGCAAGCAACTCTTGAGTGTTGACCTCTCTCTTACGACGCTCAAAGTCATCAACACGCACACCTTTTCACACTGTGAGGGCCTCACACACATTCAACTCCCGGGCACCCTGCAGGAAATACATGCGGAAGCTTTCGTGGGCTGCATTGCCTTGCGATTGTCGACCTCCCAGCAATGCTTGGGTACATAGCACAAAGCCTTTGCAAGCTGTTGCCAGCTCCTGCAGCTAAACCTACGGCAGGACATGAAGACCACCTGGAGACGACCGTATGCCGAAAGCAACGCTTTCGAATTGCGCTTTCGCCCAGAGGGGCTGCGAACGAACATCTGCTGTCTCAACTGCTCCAAGGTTTGAGTCGAGACCGAGAAAAAGCTCGAACTGTGTCCATGGTTTAGGCCGGACAAAGCTGCAGCCACGACACCTTTCGGGAAGAACTTGCAGCAAACCTATGGCGATCTTGCAAGAGTAGACCTGTCTTTGCCAGAGGGCCTTTTGGTAGGGTTAGGCTATGCAGCGACCAACCCAGACAGCCCTCTCAGCTTTCACCAGGCACAGAGTGCCGCCAAGAGATCGGGCGTCGCAGGGCTACACCAATGGAGCATCATGCTCCCCACTAGCGCCAGAGTGTCGCAAGAAGTCTACAAGCCGCTCATAGGAATCCAATATCCTATGTTGCGCAGCCGCAAGCAGGACGACTGGCAAATAGGCACTACTTCCATCAGAGCGAACCACCAAGTTGCAACGAGCCTAAGGTTTGTCAATTGGCACCACTCATCACCAAATGATGAAGCCGTCACCAACCCACCTGCAAATCAAACCATCCTTACCTACAACCACCTGGAGAGCCAGCTGTCAAGGGCGTCTGCAGGGAACAATGCAGCGCTTGTCCTCACAACCACGCGTAGCAGTGCAACAGCTCTGCAAGGTCACTTCCATGAAGAAGGCAAACAGGCCAACGCTGAAACTGCCGTCAAGGTAGCAGGAGCAACGGCACGGCATTGTATAGCGCTGCACGGGCGCACAGCCTTCCTCAGTGGCAATGGTAGAGATGCTGACTTTGACTCAGAGCGAAAAAGATCGGGTAGCAACCTTACACGGTAGACTACCTACCTCCCCTGGATCTTTAGCTCACAACAGGCTCTCACACTCGTCCGGTACGGTACGAAACCTTCCCTTCAAACCTCCGAACACTTCGGAAAACTTCAAACGCTGCACAAGCTGCTCTCAAACACTCGCACCCTTTTCTCACACTAGCCAAACGAATTGGCCTTGAGCCAAAACATATCCCGTAGCACTAAACTATACAAAGAACACACGAAAAACATATTAAAAAGTCTCTTAAAGTATCTCCACACACAAAGAACTCTTTCAAAACTTCCGACTACGCTACAAGTCGCTTTTAAACAATTAAGAAACAAAATGTTGTACTACCGCCAGGTTCCAAATCTTTCACCAACAAACTTAAACGAAATTTATGCATCGCAAACTGCAAGCATCGAGCGAGGTGGACATCCTGACATGGAATTTCTCTACTTCCCCTCTTAGACACAAAGCTTGAAACGAACTGGCTGACTTCAAGCCTTCTTACTCTTCTTCAATGAGGACAGACATTTGGCACAAATATCTTTCGACATAGGTACGTGCATGCCCGAGCAAGTTGGACTCAAATGAACCTTGCTCCCACTCACTGAAAAATATACTTTTGAGCATTGCTCAATGCCTTTTGGAACTGGATAGCTCTTCGGCATCTCGACTTTAAAAGTCACTTGGCTCTCAGGCTCAGCATGCTTCCGACGCCGCAGGCAGCAGCAGGTCAGCAGGCATCCCAAAAGAAAACCAGCTGCAAAGACCAAAGCGGTCGCTGCTTCCAGGCTCAGCGCCGCAAGGGCCGTTTCCACATCCGGCATCATACCTCGGATGGTATAAGCTTCATTCCAAGAAAAGCTGTATCTCACAGTCTGCAAAACCAAGATTCTTTCGAAATGCGCAATCGAAAGTGCTCGCAAAAACGTGCCATTCGGTTCAGACAACGTGCAAGACCTACTTGGCTATTATGATTCTAATTCGGCTTTAAATCCTTTAAGGATTAGCTCGCAAAATTCCCTGGGGTAGTGTTGCGTTTCCTTCCAATTGACTTCCTTGGACGGCAAATGATCACGACGACCATCACAAACGCAAACCTTCAGGCTTTCCAATAATCGAGTACTATCTGTTTCAATCCTCCAGGTCTTTCTGATCAACTGACCCTTCTGGCTCAACTTGACTGAACATGCATCCACAAATGTTGAAAACGTTTTCCGTTTCCTCAGAAAATCCTTAGTCTGATTCCATCCCCAATAAGCACACCTCTTCGGCCATTCAATCGCTACAAAATCGGCTACTTCCGACGTTCGTAAGAAACCTTTCCATAGCTTCTTCTGAATCTGGTACAATTCTCGAAGATGACCCATATAGTCCTGACCAAATCTCTTGATGCAAATATACTGAAACGGACATCCTCCGAGTACCTAGAAAAATTCGAGAAGCAACTGCACAAGAAAGGAACACGCACAGCGACGAATCCGATCGAACGGTGCAAACACTCACTCTGTCTTTTTCCGCAAAGTCGGACATGGGGTTGTCACTGTTTAGGTCTCTTGTACGAACTGCATGCTTTGCCCTCATGGGAAGGGCGTGGCACAAGCGAAGCACTGTTATGCAACTAGGGCATTTTGTCAAGCTCCTTCACTGCTCACACTCCCCCTCGCCCTCATGGGAAGGGCGTGGCACAAGCGAAGCACTGTTATGCAAGTAGGGCGTTTTGTCAAGCTCCTTCACTGCTCACACTCCTCTGTAGGTGCTAAATTTGCTGGCCAGGGAGGGAGAGGTGGGAGAGGCCAGCAAATTAGCCGATGACTCCCACCTCAACCCACCAGCTGCGGCATATAGAGCAATTTTGAGAAACTACATTGAAGAACTGAATGCACGAACACAAGCAACTTATTTATATAGACGGCATTCCAAAGTTACAAGGATTTTTGCACAGCTCATTCGGAGTTTTTGAGAAAAGAAAAAGGTTGGCTAAAAGAATTTTGGCGCAAAAATTTTCCAAGCTTAATGTACTTAAAGCGCTATCATGGATGACAGCTTGCTTAAGTCCCTACGCTTTTGACGCCAACCTTTAGAAAAATTCGAGAAGCAACTGCACAAGAAAGGAACACGCACAGCGACGAATCCGATCGAACGGTGCAAACACTCACTCTGTCTTTTTCCGCAAAGTCGGACATGGGGTTGTCACTGTTTAGGTCTCTTGTACGAACTGCATGCTTTGCCCTCATGGGAAGGGCGTGGCACAAGCGAAGCACTGTTATGCAACTAGGGCATTTTGTCAAGCTCCTTCACTGCTCACACTCCCCCCTTTGTCCGCCATTTGTCCCATTGCCGAATCCACGATAAAATGCATGCACTGCCTAACGAAACTGGTGTTAGCAAGGACCTCGTTGAAGGCTGTGGAACCTTTCCGCGAGGGTTCGTCTGCTGGGTTTGAGCTAGATGGCACACGGGCTACCCAGGGTGTGATGCTTAAAGAATCCTCTGTTCTCAACAAGGCACCAACAAGCTCATGGGCCGGGCGTGACCTTGCCCGTCCAGAGATGGCGACATCCCGAGCTGAGTTGTTGTCCACGAAAATCAAACAAGGAGAATTCCGTATTTTATCTTCCCAAAGTTTCAAAGCCACAATGATTGCTAGAAGCTCGCATTCGAAAATCACCGTCTTCTTTCCAGGGAAACCCAGGGCTTCTAATTCCGGGCTATCCAAGCACAAAGAAAAGGCAGACACTACCTCACCCTTGTCGTTATACAAGACTCCACCCATGCCACACGGCCAACTGTCATCAGTGGGCTGAAAAGAAGCGTCGGTAAACACAAACCACTGCTTGGTCGCACTGCCGCCAACACGGCGTGGGTGGCCGTCACGCAAGCACGCCAAGAAGTGCTTTAGGGCAGCTGTAGTGCCAGGAGCCAGCTGCCACCGCCCATTTCCATAAGCATGCTGCATTCAAGCACATCCTACTGGCTCTACCCCAAATCTGTGCGTGTGCGAATTGCATCCTACCTCGCAGTGACAGGCCTTGGGCTCTTGACATGCCACCATCATCTAATATGGATTCAATAGTTTCGCACAGTTCGGCAACACGTTTCTGTGTGTTTGTCAGCAAGGCCACACCCATGGGCATTTGCTCGAAGGAGATCTGGACACCTAGCGCCTTAAAGACACCACCAAAGGGGACATCTTTGTCACCTCCTGATACCGCCCAGCCTAACAGTCCGAAAAACTTTTTAATGACTCCGTCCAAAACCTCGGCTTCACTAGTTCTAGCTACAGTCACAAAGTCGTCGAAGAAGGAGGTCCAACAAATGCATAAGGCCCTACAACCCAGGAACCACAGCGAGTGAGCGACCCGCAAGAACCCATAAACACTACTGGTGGCCCCAAAGGGTAAGGCCATTAGCTGGTACACCTCCGGCCGTCTGCTGTGAGGATTAAAGCAGGCAACATAGGACGCCCACAAGCTGTCCTCCGAAATCGGCAGGTGGCGGTAAGCGGCCGACAAGTCAACTGTCTTTCCTACCCAGGAGAACCCCTTTCCCTATCGAGTGATCTGGAGGAGCATGGCTGCCACAACGTCAAGAGTGTGCAGAGCTGGCGTGGTCTCCGCCTGCGTGGTTTGGTTCACGCCACTGCCACTCAGGTCATCTACCAGCCTGACCTTTTCTCCTTGCTTTAGGCCGAACCTCCTACTCACAATTGCATCGGTTGGCAAGTCTTCAAGAGCAAAGGGCCCACGAATCCAGCCTGCGTTCCTCTCCTCGCACGTTTTGCGATATACTTCAGAATCGACAAATTCGTCTCCACTGCTCCGTACACTATGGACAGTGGCATCCCTGGATGCCTTAGCGCCTAACCTAAGCTCCTCCTCAGTCAAGGATGCAGGTTTGAAGGCTCGTTCAAAAACTGGGGCTGGTGCAATGGGCCCAGTGAGTTTCGTGCCTTGGCACACCTCGTCCACTACACCCAAGTCAGGATATTCGTATTTTTGAAGCAAGGCCTTCCAAAGCAAGATCCTCTTGGGGGCGAGGATCTTTCTGGCATGAGGCGCCAGCTTTTCGTGCAATTCCTGGTCCTCGGACTGCAACGACTTTGCCAAGGCGACCCAGTCTTTCAGCACCGCCAGTCGCTCCGCATTCAGTATCTTTGCCGGGACTGTGACCGCCTTTTTGATCGCCTCAGCAAGCGGGTTTGGAAGAAAATTCTCAAAGCAAACTGGATGACCTTTTGCAACTGCCTCGCTTACAAACATCTCAGGGCTCCGGAAAATGCCAAAAGAACATGTAGATATGGGTTTTGATTCACCACCCCCTTTTGACCGCAGAGGTGCATGTCTAAAAAACTTTGCCCCGGCAGGGATGGCGTTCCAAGGATGAGCCAAAACATGTCCGGGTTGCACGGGCACATCAGTTGGCGCCGCTGGGACCGTGATCACGGTTGCGTATTCTGAAAGCACTGGCGCAATCTTAGATGCCTTAGGCTGGCTGCCTACAACTGCATATTTGACCCTATCAGGCGGGGTCAATATGCCCGATGGGGGCTTCCAGCCTCGACGGACAGCCTCTGATGCGAAAGCATGGGCAATCTCGTACGCTAATTGAAGCGGGTAGGCAGTCTCTTGACTAGTAGCAAAACCCTGGGCTGTCAAACCCCAAGCCTCGTGCTTATGGTTTAACGAAAGGCCCGGGCAGCATTTATTAATACGCTCAAAGGTTTTGCAATTGTGTGCAAGCACAGTCCACTTGGGTCGCGTACTTCCATATGCGCATGCCTGATGTGCTGTGAAGGTGAGCAAACTTGCAAGGGGTTGAAAGAAAGAAGTCAACCAATAAAAACTGCGCCTAGGGTTTTCAATGACGACTATCATTTCACGCTTGATGCATAGCAATGCAACTTCCGTCACAAAATGGTACAACCTATTTGCTGCTGAGACCCGAGCCCTGTCTAGCCACTTTAAATTCCAGAGCCCATCGGGGAATTCCTCGGAGCGCAATGGCGGCGGTCCTGAGACAACTCTGCCTGATTTCAAGCGCAAAGGAATGGAACGTGCCCGACTGCTTGCGCCGCACGGTGGTGCAATGAAGACGCCTTTACAAGCTGTTGAGTTTATCCATTGTTTAACAAGAGCTTTACCTGGCTTTGTAGTCAAACCGGCGATCAGGACTTTCCACAGTTCCTAATGCGTTTGTGATCGACACCAAAAGAATCGCTTAGTCCGATGGCTCTGGCACAACTGGTGACCCTTGCGGACCCTGCACACAGTTCGATAATGAAAGGTTTATCTGGAAAATTGTTTGCCAAGGCTTGCGGAACCTGCGAGTTTGTTTGAGTCGTTTGAGACATGCAACTGATCATATCCGGGACACACGATTCCAACTGAACCTCATGGCCCGAAACAGAGTCAAGCTTTCGCTCTTTCGAGGGAAGCGAATTCGACGAAGCACCTTCGATGCTTCCTACTGCTTTTCGTTTACCTAGTCACGAGCGCTCATGCTCTGTGAGAGCGTGAGGGCCATAGCACTTGGCACAAACATGAACTCCTTTTGCACATGTACTGCCATCTGCACCCGCTGAACACTTACCAAGACTGTAGTCAAAACAAACGCGTTTCCCTGCAGGGGTCGATGCTGTGCCCCCGAGCTCTCTGATCTGTGCCGGGATGCGAGGCTCCCAGCCTTTTTCCCAAGAACCTTTTTCCTGCCACCTGCCTTTTGGTTTTGGTTCAGGCTTCACCTTCGCCGGCAATGGAATGAGTGAAAAGGAAACTTCATACGATGTCAAGGCTTGCATCAACTGTACATCAAGTGGCCTCACCCCAGTAGCATCCCTCCGAGGCTTCACACTCTGCTCAATGACCTTCCTCCAAGCTTCCTTGTCGGCATTGCGCAATCGTGCATCTCTGATAACCCTGAGGTGGCTCCCGGTGCAAGTGCTCAAAAAGTGTCTGAACATACCTTTCGCGCTCGATGAAACCCACGCAATCCCCAAAATCAAGAGCAATGCCTCGACGTTTCAATGCCTCAAGAACTTGCAAGGATGTGTGAGCCGGCACCTCGAGTTTATCCTCCTTGTCCTTGACCACGATCTTGTTCGCTTCGATGTCAAGAATACGATCAGGTGTCTTCAATGAAGTTAACTCATGCACCTGGAAACACAACGTTCAGGTGCAAGATACTTCAATTGGTTCTTGTCGACCATATTCATGACAGCGTCCAACAAGGCTGTCCTGGTTCCATAGAACCGCTCACTGAGACTCCGGCCAGCCTGTTCTTTACCAATGTCATCCTGGCTTCCCTCTCTGCCTGTGGAATCCTCTTGACTGCTGTGTCCGGAGCCGTAACCTGCTCTTTGAGGATGGCCAACAGCTGTGTTTGACTCTCAAAGGTCAACCTGCGCAGGCTTGCAACCGCCCCCATCGTGGCCCGAGGGTCTAGGGTCCTGACCCACTGTGCGAAGGCGTCATGGTCGATCGCTTGTTCCGGCTGTCCGAAACTGTAAGACAAGGTGGCAAGAGTGTCTATTCCGTTTCCTTTCAAAGCATCTCTCAAAGTGTCCGGCACCTTGCACTCTGCGATCCTCAAGTCGAATTGAGCCTCACTATCCAAGAGCAGGGCCATTGCTTGCCGACTGGAATCCCTGCGTGAGTCAAACAAATATCCTGCAGGTTACAAGATGAACTGAAATCAGCACTTGACAAGGTTGGAAAGTGAAGTTAGAGAGTGAAGCGACATGAAAGCCTAGAAAAACTCATGTTTACCACAAAACGAACATCCGGCGAAAACCCTCGGTTGAGTAGGTTTAACTTCACATTCCTATACATCAACACGTCTCCTTGATCCGACAGCATGCATGGCTGAGTTACCGGCCATTAACTGCAACAATTTTTTCATGTCACTCGCATGGTGTCCCATCCAACATGAGCCAACAGATCCTAAACCTACAAAGTGCCACACAGTGTCGGTTGGCCTCACTAGGATGACTTCACCATCACACAACCTCGCATGGGTCGCTCACCTTATCTCACACTGGCAATTTTCCGTTTGGTTTTGATCGAACTGAGCGTCCGATCCCTCACACAAAACACCTTTCGAAGGTGCCGGAAACAACCCTTTGTCGATCCAAAAACCGGCATTTTGGGACACCTCATATTGGAAAATTGGCATCTCACACAGACGCACGCCTCCAAGACTCATTCGCCGCTTGGTTTCTTCCTAAGGCACAATTTGCACACGACGTTCCATGCCGTGGCCTCCCGAAGAAAGGCTGTAGGCATCTGTCAAGCGCTTTCCACACAGCGAGATTCCTATATGTCAAACACTCGTCTTGTTCAGGAAGCAAATGCAAGATGTGTGACTTGCGACGCACAAACCAGGACTTAGATTTGGGCACACGAGGTCGGAACCTTCACAGGTGGCTCCTCATTGCACAAAGACTCAGGCGAATCTGCATCCCCCGAAGAGCTCTCTGAACACGAGTCCACAAGCTCCGCCTGATGTTCAGGACCCTCCGACAAGCTGGACCAGAATGGATGAACTCCGTTTTTTGACATCATCCCGAACTTCCGCGGCCTCGCTTGCGGTCTGTTGCCCAGCCTCAGGGAAAGTGTCCTGCTTCTTTCTTGGCAAAATAGGCGCTGCGCGGAGCATCCGGGTTGAAATCACCACTGTGAACAGCATCCACAATGGACTGCAGCTCACGTATGGCATCATTGAAGGGAAAGGAAACACAACATGATGAGCAAACCCAACCAAACAGCAACCAACCAAACAAGAACCCCAAACACAGCCAACGGCCAGAGGCCGACTCCCCCTCATCTGAAAGTGTTTCCTCTCTTCGAAGGTCAGACAGGTGAGAAAAGTTGGCTGTGACCTATCTGTGGGCCTGAATTCTTCACAAAGTCGGTCGGAAGGGTCAGCGCTCAAGCGGAGTGCAACGGAGTTCAAAGGAGCTTCCAAGTCCATGACCATTGCAGGAGCTGCATTGTTTGTGGTCAGGTCCTCCTGGCAACCTTCCATTGCCATTCTCTGCCACCCGCCTTTTGGGAACGAGAGAGCTAAGGCTCTCATTCCTGCAGGCTCACTGAATGTTGGATGGTCAGGGCGAAATGGTGTCTCTGCTTGAGCTTTCTCAAGCTTGGCTCGCCTATTCAAGCAGCAGAGAAGCAATCCATCCCGTGCACTGTCGTCAGAACGTTGCCGTGTAGGGCTTCTTGATCCTCTCCATTGGTCTTTGGCATTGGCGGCAAGAATCGAAGGCCACTCGGGCTTGTCTAGTTGCTCACATTTGTCAAATGCATTGAGCCGGGCAATCAACCAAGCCTACACAGGAGACCTTCACCGTATAAGTGAAGCTTTTGCCGCTCCCCTGGCCAACCTTTTCACTTTCGTGAAGAGTGGACACCCGGGAGTGCACACTAAAGAAATTGCTTACGACCGATACCCCCGAATGCCGGATACGTCCTGGGCTGAAAGTTTCCTTTCCTTCTACAGCTGAGCTGCGGAAGAGGACTCTGCCTCTGATGCTACCGGGTCAGCTGAGCGATCGCCCAGGTTGCGCTCCCGGTGCCAGTGGGGACTGCTGAACCACCACAAGCTGGTACTGAGGAAGCAACTGAGGAAGAGAACATGGCAGCAGAACCCAACTACGCCTTTGCCAAGGGATACGGACGTTTCTGCATAGGTCATACCAGCTAGCAACGGCGCTCGGCAATTTTGAGCAAGGGAACATCCAAGCAGAATGTACAGCAGTAGCTCAGTGGCTGACCTCCCGGCTAAGGGTTGCCATGTCCCGCACAGGGTGGAATCTGCTGTCTCCCCGCTATACGCTGACCAAAGTTCCAAGTACTCTCCTCAGTAACTACTACTGTCATCATTCCAAAAATGGAAGATCGCCCGTACAACCAATATGGCCAGTTCCTCTACACAGAAGGCCGATGGAACCAGCTCTGCGCATGCTCACTGGAAACCTCTCGTTCAGGAGGCAGCTTGCAGGCCACAAGCAGGCACTTAGGGACCAAATGGGCTACAGTCAGGAAGACTCCGATCCGCGTAATAAAGCTCGCCGTACGGAAGCTCCTCGTCTGCAGCAGGGTCTTTCTGTCACATCAGGCCTCCCACACCTCCAGTCTCCGCGCACAGTCACCGCCTCCTAGTAACTTGGACTCCTTCATGAGATGGGTGGCCTTAGCCACCCTACTTCTTGTTGTCCGAGTATTTTCATTTGTTTTCGAAATGACCGCATGTTCGCTACCTCAATTGTTTGGCCCAAGCAACGAGCAAAAACGTTCGGACTGCCGCCTACAGCGACAATGCCGCCTGACCAAGACCGATATGAGGTCAGTATTGATTTGGTGACCATAGCAGGCACGGAATATGCTATGCAAACAGCTGGAAGATGACATTCTTTGCTTTCTGCCAACAGTCTCTGATTTGGATGTCTTTGGCTGTGAGTTGGACTTGCTCGACCTTCACACGCAGCGACCCCTGCAGCATTCCATACGGTGCTCCTGCAACGACCGAAACCACAAATCGTCGTTCGTCCCTGCTTGGAGATGGACACTCCATCTGGCAGTTCCAGCCTGACGATAGGAAAAGCTACCCCAAGGCTTTACGCGGGCCCGCGTGGCGAAATTGCTGACAGAGCCTTCTATGCTGCACCCATGCTCCGGCGTGTAGAAGTGGCAATGGGCATTCAACATGCAGGAATTGCGGCCTGGCAGAGTTGTCAGCAACTGCAAATTGTCACCCTCTGTCATGAGTCTTGAAGAAGGGACCTTCCAGGGGTGCTACGTGCTGCGAGAGGTGGCCGCCCCGGGATGTGTCCAGTACAGCCGAAGAGTGTTGGTGTCAAGTCACGAAACGGATGACAGTAATGTCCTTGCACCAGGGGCACAGCCAGGCAGATGTGCATTTGAGAGTTGCCTCACACTTACATCCATCACCTTTGTCATGGACCACACCAATAAACCTCGAGCGCTGCCTGAAGGCGCATTCTGTGGAGCAGGCTCTGAAAACTGCAAAGGACTTGTGGAGGTCAACCTCATGTGACACACAAATCACAGCCCTACTCCACTCCATTGAACAGCGTGTGCAGGCAGAGCACAATGCTTTCTTTATGTGTGACAAATTTGAAAAACCACTGTGGGTGGAGCTGCTCCCCGCAAAAGGGCCCGATTCGGATGCCTTTGACGAAGAGCTATATAACGAATTTTCCTAACATCGGGCCAGTCCATGTCAAGTTCATGGTGGGTGCCTTAGCATCTGTCTTTAGAAACATCCCCGGCCCTAGAAACAGTCAATGAGCAGAGTCAGAAGCTTCTGGCTCAAACAGTAAATGAAAGTAGTCTGCCACACATGGAGCTCGACGACTCATCCAGGCTTAGCACTCCCCCTGAAATGGAGCGGGTCATGGACTGCTCCTTGGTACTGACAACGCTCTCGGGGGTTGCTATCAGGTCTCTCTCAGTGCAGCAAAATTTGATCGATTTGAGGACCTAGAGGACCAGGTTATGGACTATCTGGTCTCAGTTACTGACCTTAAAGTGTTTGGGTGCTCCATCGACTTTCACGCAGACACACCTGAGGACTCAATCTGGGACAAGCTACAGCAAAGCACGGAATACACTAAGTGTAATCCTGCCATCGCAGGAACAACTTGAAGGATACCCTATCCATCATGTTCCGCTTGCTGTTCATGTCCTCATGAACCCAGAGGAAATCGTCCTGGAAGCGGCTTTTGCAGGGGTTCCGCGTCTGCGGCATGTCAGCGTTGAGTCAGGTATCAGGCTCATTGGAGCAGAGGCGTGGCAAAATTGTCCGCAGCTCCGCATTGTCAAATTGCCGGCCACTGTGGTAGGCATTTCCGATAACGCCTTTCGCTACTGCAAACTACTAAACAGGTGTCTCGGCTCCTGGTTGCCGGGAATTTGGATACAAAGCCTTTGCGGAATGCTGCTCCTTACAATGGGTGTATGCATCGGACGGAGTTGCAAATAGGTTCAGCAGCGAAGCCAAGCTCTCGCATCATCTCTCTCAAGGATGCATTAACCTTGCTGAGTTTGCCTTGGGTGAGTCCATCCCCCCGAGGGTCAACACTGCAGGCCGGGAGGCTGTCTTAGCTCTACGGGA